CCCCAAAACCCCAAAACCCCAAAACCCCATATTTTGGAATAAATATTGAAAAATAAAATAAAGTTATAATAATAATAAAATGGAAAGCATGTCCAGAGCTACTCAAGAAGAGAATACCCAGATAATCAGGTTGTCGAGAGCTTAGTTTTATAGTGTCCTAAATTTTTACTCTCTAATTTGTCATAAGTTTCAAAATTGTAATACTTGAACCAAAATTTGCCAACTCCTATAATAATTACATCAAAAATTTCTTGTTCAAAAAATTTCTAGTTAAATTAAAAGTAATTAGACAACCTTGTCTCTCCAAAATAAGTTTTTACCACAAAAGATTACATTTTCTTCTGAAAAATCTGATTTAAGGCTTCTAAATCTTTCAATTAATACTCTTTCACAAATCCAACTGTAGCTTTTTGGGGAATTCTGACATGGATCCCTTCTTGTTCATCTCTAATTGTGCAGTCTAGAGAAGTCTATTCTTGAAGAAACCAAGGAGCAAAATATCAGCACATGCCAGAGCATTTGCTATAATATTTTTCCAGGCGAAAAAGATATTAAGCCATTGGATTCAGACTCTGAAAAAATTCCAAATAATAGCTACCTTGCCATTCATCTTAATTATTCTGAATTTATGCAGCTTGAGCAAAGCTTCAAGTATCTTAAATTCTTCGATATAAATCATATTCGGTTTGTTGGCTTTGATTCTAAAAATAAGGTTTTTGCAGATCTCTTAGAATCCTTATTCCCAAATAAAACAAACGAACTCTGCTTTTATCCCCAGAATGTAATGAATCTGAATAGGTCCAATTACTTAAACTCCCTGCTCAGACTCAGTTCTAAAGTTGTCCAACAAGTTATATTTGGAAATTTCGGCATTGGTCTCCCCCAACTGAAGAGGCTGGTGGCAGCTTACAAGCATGTCAGAGAGTTGATACTGATGGATTGCAAGTTATCTATTCCAAGTGTTCCTGATTTATCTAAGGCTCTTATAAATTGTCAAATCCAGAAACTATATTTAGGAGGATGAGGAAGCTCTAATTTTAGTGACTGGGAGAACAACCTCAACCAGTTCAAGAACTTGGTGCAAGGGTTAGCAAGTTCTCCAAATTTAAAATCGAGTCTCAAAGAGGTAAATATCTTTGATTGTAGGGTAAACCAAGATAAAGCTGAACAAATCTTTGATGAAAACCAATTTGGACATGTTAAAATAATTGAGAAATAAGTTTTGATAAAAGTTCTTATTTTTGCTGCATTGACTAAATGACATCATTTCTTCATATTTGATACTTGGTAAATTATATATATATATTTTGGGGCTCGATTAAGCGGGGTTTTGGGGTTTTGGGGTTTTGGGG